CTAGTTTAACCAGATGATCCAAAATAATGAATCCCTCCACAAGTATTGAAATTACAATTATTATTAACATCTACCCATCCTAATAAATAAATGTAAATAATAAAAAATTACCATCTCTAACGTTGGAGCTTGCATCAAACTAATAAATAAGAGTTTGACGAGTTGCTTATATTAAGACGATGAGTAGTATCATAAATAATTAATATAAATAATAGAATTAAGATTTTTAACTAAATCGACTTAATGCGCACCATTTAATATAAAGATTAATTAATATAAATTTAATCATTCAATTATTATCATTTCTCTCTATCTAAACACTTTATTTTATGATTATAAATAAAACTCTATAGTTACTTGATTAATTCTGATTACTTATCCTTGTATTCATTTAAACTTTAGTTTAAAAAAGATTTGTTTATTTAATTTAATCAAGAAATAGAAAAAATTGATGATTCGAAAAGAAAAAACGTATAAAACTTATAATAATATTATGTAAAAGATCATCAAAATAATAATGTTAAGCCACTTTTTAATTTCTTTTTCAATACAAATGATGATTTATTCTTGGGAGTACAAAGAATATTAGAAATTTTTTATTCTTCAATATCAAAGGAACTATTTAAAGATTGTATAAATGGCTTTTCTTTTAAACAATAAATATAATAAGTTAATTTGGATTCTAAAAAAGAAATAGTACTATATTTAGAACAAACATTGCTTTAAACTATTCTACTTTTCATACTTATCCATTTAGTTCTAAGAAGAAAAATTATTTGAGATGCATTTTAACTCATGTCTAACTAAAATAATTTCATTCAATTTTTATATCAGGTTGAGGATTTAAGAAAAATTTACAAGATGTTATTTATATATATTTTGAAACCTCAAGAAATTGATAAAATAGTGATTAATAATCCCGTATTTAATTAGGAAATAAGAGACTGACTTTGCTATCTATATAAATAATCATAAACTTGAGTTATGTAAAAATATATCATATAGAGATATATTTAAAGATATAAATAGTATATTATATAAAGATTTGTGAAATCTTTTTATAAAATAAATAACCAGCCATCATTACAATATTGTAATTCTCTTTGTCATAATTGTTAATAGTATAAAATAGTACAATAATTTCTTCATTTATATGTTATTGTCTAATATTATTAGACTACTAAATCATTGAATCATAAAAATAATTGCATACTTATTGAACATTAACTAAGATTTTTTGATTTAACAACAGATTTAAAATTAAATAAAAATAATAATTTTGAGATTATTAACTTTAAAAAATATTATTTTAAACAAATAAATTATCAATAAGGTCTTTCATTTCAATAATCTAAGTTTTAATCTTCTAATTGTTAATAGAATAAATAGTAAATGTTCAGTATAATTTTTGTTATAAAATTATTAATTTTTCATTCTTAGTTTTAAAGACAGTATTCCAAAAAATCTTTATTCAAACAATTGATTTATTATTCTTCGTAATTATCTATGAGTTGATTCAACAAATAAATACATTTAATAGTTAGATTAATATATTGAGTATAAATAGGAAATATATGATAGTAATTTAATTTATCAATAAATATATATATGAAAAAAAATTAATGTAAATGATCTAAAGAAAAAATTGAAAGAGTTACATTAAAAATAATAGGAGAGTTTAAATAATAGAAAGAGTTTGATAAAAGAAATTAAAAGCATGCCAATTTAGTAATTTTGACAGCTTATGATGATAGAAAGAATAATAGGAAAATAAAGAAATCGAAGGAAGAAAATGAAAAGGTAATATATAGAATGTTGATGTTTAGAAGAATTTTGTAATAAGTTT